TGTACACAAATTTCGAGTTTATTTCGGCAAATCGCCAGTAACAGTCTTTTCGGATCATGCGGCTGTTGGTAGACTTTACTCGGGAAAAAAACCTAACGCCCAGGTTAATAAGATGGGCTTTAAAAACTCCAAGAATATAATATCACAATAAAATATAAACCGGGTAAGGAAAACAATGTAGCTGACGCACTTTCTCGTATAAACTGGACGATGAAGGTAATGAACTTAAATGCGCTGTGTTGACTTCAAAAATTTTAGATTCTAGAGATACGGTTATTACTGAATTGAAAGCTGATCCTGAATTTGGAAAGTATTCTATGCTTATTTGAAAGACCCCGAAAGTCTTTGACATACAGATATCGATGCGATAAGAATAGAGCAAAAACTATGAAATAATAGATAATTTATTGTTTTATATACGAAAACAACAAACGAAAATCTTCGAGCATAAGCCAGTCATCCCAGCCTTCGCTTCGATTAAGCATTTTGAAAGGAAGTTACACGAAACGAAAAAACAGCGGGTCACTTAGGGGTCAGAAAGACTTTAAAAGGGTACGCGAGGCGGTATATTTCCCGCAATTATACAAAATAGTAACGGCGTATGTCAGGTCCTGCAATCAATGTCAGTTAATAAATGAATTTAATTACAGCCCGGCCGGGTACTTAAATAGCATTCGCGCTACATTTCCGAATGAAATTTTAGGCATAGATCTCCTTGGTCCCTTCCCCCAGAGCGAGTTAAATAAAAATCGTTTTTCTTTTTAGTAATAGTAGATCATTTTTCAAAATGGATAGAAATTGTTCCACTTAAACGCGCGTCAGCCAAAACAGTCGCAGATGCATTCTTACACAGATACATTTTAAAATACGGTGCACCGATAAAAGTCATTAGCGATAACGGAAAACAATTCATTAGTCAAATATTTGAAAACATATGCAATGGACTTGCATACGCCATATCAAAATGGTTCCGTATAGACCACAGGCTAACATAGCAGAAAGAGTTAATAAAAACATTGTAAAAATAATTCGCAGTTACGTTAGCACACATCACAAGCGCTGGGATGGCTACATAAATGAATTAGCTTATGCTTTAAGAACGGCACATCATGATACTACGGGAAAAACTCCAGCAGAATTATTTTTAGGCAGAAAGTTAATTACGCGCCTTTAGATAAATTATTCTTTGTGCAACAAAGAGAGCAGGAATTTAAACAAAAAGGATGTGCAAAAACTATTGATCAGGCGCTTAAAACCTCGGATACGGCAAGAAATAGGCAGAAAATTTATTATGATAGAAAACGCCGTGAAGCAGATTTTAAAGTTGGGGATAAAGTATTGAAGCGGAAATTTTCTTTATCAAGTGCCCCAGACAATTTTATGGCAAAGCTAGCTCCAAAGTTTGAAGGCCCCTATGTAATTCAGGAAATCAAAGGAGTAGTCTTATATCTTAAAAACGAGAGAGGGGAAATCTGTAAAGCAAGTCCCGACCAGGTGAAAAAATACTATAATCCCAATGATTTTGAAATCCTTAAAAGTTTCTTGCAGGACTCAAGTCTAAACGAAGTAGAAGAATCAGAGACTACAACAACTATTCCACCACCCAAGAAACGGAGAACTGAAGAGAGACCTAGCACTTCTACAACCCGGACGTCACGGTATCAAAAAGAAAATGATTTCAAACTCCGGCGTTTAAGAAAAACAAAAATACAGATGAACCGGGTAAAGAAACCGTGGTAAAGAGAAAACACCACCTACAAAGGATGGCAGGAGGAATTACACATCAAGGAAGAACGCGCACACGGCCACAGAGTCAGGTGCCAGCAAGGCCGCCGTTCCGGAAAACTGAAACGCCAACAGGAAGGCACAAAAATACGAGGAACAGAAGAAATTCAAGAAGGACTCCAGACCGGAGGACGTCAAGACCAGCCGTCCCAGGCAGAAACGGCAAAAGCCAACAACCAGACGATTACTCCGTCAAGAGGCCAGCATGTAGAGGACGCAAAAGAAAGATCAACGTGGACGACACTCGGAGATCAATAAGGAGAAGATTGACATCCATGAAACCTCTAACTTGGGACCAATTTTGTCAAAAACGGATGACGGAGTTTCAAGCATCGAAAAACTCAAAGATAAGTTAAAATCTTCTATAAATTTTTCTTCTTCTTGTTCCGAAATGTTATGCATGTAAAGTACGAAGTTCTAGGTTTTGACGGAAAGTCAATTTGTCTCGGTTGAGACTTAGTTTTGTTTTACTTTATTTAGCCTAAAGGCAAAAGCATAAAAGCATTATTTTCTTTAAGTGTAAATAGCTAAGAACAAGCATTTTCATGTTGGTCGGAAAGACTGCTTCTGTTATGTTAAAGCCAAAATTTGGCCGAAGATAAAATAGCTTCGTAATTGTTGTATTAACTGGAAGAATTTTAGTTTCAGTGCCGCCAGCTTGGCGAAGAATGAGTAAAGTAAAAATTTATTTTATCTTATTCATTTTATGGTAAATTGTAAAAAGCATATGTATTAAAATTTTGTAAATGTATGTAAATACTTGAAAGTTATGTAAAAGTAGAATTTAGTCTAGAAGCATAAAATTGTAGATGCTAAAAGTGAATGCTTAAAAGCAATGAAGTCAAAATTTAAGTATTAAACTGTAAAGTCATGCTTTAGAGCGAAAGCCTGCATGTTTAAAGATGAATGAGGGGGAAGTTAGAATGAATGTGTTTTGTAGGGTTCTCCACCTACATTTGAATTTTTAAGACTATTAAAGTAGCTCATTGAGTTGTAGAATGTCGAGTAAGGTGTGTCTATTTGGTTGTTGAATTCTAACAAATCATGGTGATTAGGGGAAGTGTTGTCAGACTAAAACACGAATATCTTCGTATTCTTGTACTAATAAGAATTTTAGTTTCAGTGCCGCCAGCTTGGCGAAGAATGAGTAAAGCAAAAATTTATTTTCTCTTATTCATTTTATGGTAAATTGTAAAAAAGCATGTATTAAACTTTTGTAATGTATGTAAATACTTGCATGTTATGTAAAAGTAAATTTAGTCTAGAAGCATAAAATTGTAGATGCTAAAAGTGAATGCTTAAAAGCAATGAAGTCCAAATTTAAGTAGTAAATTGTAGATAAGTCATGCTTAGAGAGAAAGCCTGCATGTTAAAAAGATGAATGAGGGGGAAGTTGAATGAATGTGTTTGTGGGGTTCTCCACCTACATTTGAATTTTTAAGAATATTAAAGTAGCTCATTGAGTTGTAAATGTCGAGTAAGGTGTGTCTATTTGGTTGTTGAATTCTAACAAATCATGGTGATTAGGGGAAGTGTTGTAAGACTAAAACACGAATATTCCCGTTTGACACCACACACGGTGGAGAGCCAGGGTAAAGTTAAATTAATGCTTGAAAAATTGAATGAATGTGAAGTAAGCAATAACTAAGAAAAACGAATCGTTTAAAAACAAAATTTATTGTGTCAAGAAAGTGTAAATTATAATGTATTTAGAAAGATACTGATACTTATTCCTTCCAGATGCTGGAAGGAAAGACCAAGATTGATTGATGAAGTCCAGGAAAGTTGCTGTTAAGAAGAAAGTTATAAACGAGCAACAGAATTTTATTATATTGTTACATAAGATTTTTTTGTGTAAACGAGGTTTCGCCAGTTAGTTCAGAATTAGATAAACTTACAACAGGTCGTTTGTAGGACCTGCTTCCAAGTTTTCCAAATTCTGGCAGCGGCAAATGTAGGGTTTATATTTATTTTAACTAACATTTATTTAAAGTTTAAACTATCTTTCCTGTCAAGCCTTACTTTCCCCTGGAACTGCCAATGCCAGAATATGTAAATTTGAGTAGAACGCGCAAGGATTCAAATTATCAGCGGAAGTATTCTGATTTAAATAGAAGGAAACAAGTTCGGTGTGTGATATTCTTACTTAGCGAGCGCGGAGGTAGTTAGCGAGATTGAAAGAACCCCGCGTTGCGGCCTATGTGCTTGGCGGGAAGTAGTGGTAATCGTTCCAGTGAGCTTCAAGTGTGCTGAATTAGCAGCGGTATGTAAAACGCGGTGAGTTAGTTATTTTAGAGAGCCTCGTAGTTAGAATCTTGTCTTTACTTTCTTTTCAGGTTATTATTTTTATTTGACTGCCAAGTTGGCACAGTCTGTAAGCGTCAAGAGGACGCAATTGTAATTTATTACGTTGAATAAAAAGGGACTTAAACCCTTCACAAGGCTCTATCTTTTATACAAGCTTTCACAGTCACCTCTTGGTTGCGTGCAAGTTGGAGGCGCGCAACGTTATAATGTCCTGCATAGACTTGAAGCAGCATGGAATGAGTTTCCCGTTTCTGTCATCCAAGCCCCACCAGCGGCCGAGCGGTAAAATCGCTGAACACTGGTAGTTCGGTCCGAGGTTCGAATCCCGCGAACGGGCTGGCTGCATGGGCGTTTTCGTGTTTTTCCCCATGTCTAACGTGTATACGAGTCAGTTTCCCTTAGAAAGTCCTCCATGAAGGCATCCCACCCCTTAGGCAGATAGCCCTCGAGACTTTGCCATAATCACGCACACACACACACACACACCTGTCATCCAAGCCCACTTCGACTCCATGCCTAGTGGGGTAAGGGCCGTTTTAGCTGCCAGGTGTGGAAGCCCTTTCTACTAATTTCGCACCCCTGTAAACTCCCAAACTGCTTTACAAATTTAATCATTTCGTCTTCATGCCATACTGTTTAAGTACAATAAATATCTTTTTTTTTTTTTTTTTTTTTTTTTTTTGTATTTACTTTCCTTCATGGTGTTGCAATTTTAATGGCCAGCAGTGTATATTGCGCGCTCCGCGACCTCAAGGCACATTTTAAATTAGTCCTCATAAGTACAGCAGTTTATTTACATTATTGTTCGCATTCCAAAACACTATACAGAAAGGGGGGGGAAACTGAAGGTTTTAATAAACTTTGTGAAAGAATCATTGCTATAAGGCATGTTAAGAATAATATCTTACCTGAAAGAGATGAAACAGCAGATAACCAGGCAGAATATGTAGACGAGTATAAAAAATGCTAAAGCTCCAAATACGGCCGCATAGAACTCAGCATCTGAAATTACGATTAAAAATTATTGAAAAATTTGTATCTTCAACATATGATCGCAAATTAATAATAACACACGAGCGAGTTATATAAAACAGGCTGTGCCAGTGGACAGTTCGTAAGTGCACATCTGTATCGCAACCGAGGGAGTGGCTTATAGTAATATTTTTGTCATTTCACATGACCTTTGCCGCGCTTTGAGCGAGAGGGTTAAAAATGTTTTGTCACGCAATTTCAGGTACAAAATAGTTAAAGTTACCCGGATTTCTTGTGAAAATTTTCAGTGCGAACTTTGTTCACACATTTTTGTAACAATTTTGATTTTCTCCCAGAATTTAAATATTAATTTTAAGATAGAAACGTGACTGGCATCCATATGGAATAGGGCTTAATTATCGTCTGCAGCATTAAAAATATTCTTTTCTTTAAAATGATTCTGAATAATAAAGAATAGATAGAAGGCTATATTTTTCCGGTGTCCGATGATAAATACTCTTGTTCAGTTATTAAAAAAATGTGAAAATCCTGATTTTAATATTTCTTTACGTAAAATAAGTGACATACTTTATATGAAAGGAAAGAAACTTCAAAATTTACATCTGTCACGGAACAAAATCAAAAAATGCATATCCAACAAAGTGTGTACAGCTGTTATTAAATCTAAAGTCGCATCTCGTGCTTTAAAGAAAAGTTCAGCCCCCCAAAGAGCTATTGCAAAATCTTTAAACATCTTTGTAGGTACAAAATTATAAAATCTGATTTAAAGCTAATAAAAACAACCAAAAAAAAAAAAAAAGTGATGTTCATCGCATAACGTCGAAATATGTTTCTCAGCGTAAGATTATGTGCAGATGTCCGAATGAAAATTATTTGGTAGGTAAAAAATGAAAATATATAGTTAACAACTGATGAAGCTTGGATATACTGAATGCAATAGAAGAAAATCGATTTACTACTGAAAAAGAGAAGAAAAAGACTTAATATGCTGGTTCAGAGAAAACAAGAAAAGTTTTTCGCGTTTTTCATGTTTCAAACATGTTTCTCGGAGTAAGATTATGTGCAGAATGCTGTATGGAAGTTATTTGGCGGGTGAAAAAATGGAAATATATAAATACAGTTTATGTGGCTTGGATATACCTATCTGATTGGAATAGAAAAAGATCGATTTACTACCGAAAAGGAGGAAGTAAAGACTTAATATGTTGGATCAGAGAAAACAAGGAAATTTTTTTTTTAAAGTTTTATACTTAGTACTGTATTCTGATATAACGGAAAACTTAAAAATTAGGAAAGTAGGAAAAAAAGACAAACTTAATTCGGATTACTCCCAGAAATATGTTTTAACACCTATTTTTAAAGAAAGAATTCCATCTCTTTATCCAAACAATATTCACTATGTTACGTTCCATCAGGATAAGACTCCAAGCCTTATCCCTTAATATACTACTCTATTTCTTCACAAAAATTGAGAAATGAAAGCGGAATCGAAGCTGTTTCCTTTAAATGGATCCCACCCAAGTCCCCCGATGTGTTTCCTATGGATTACTGTGCATCTGGACTTTTAAAACAAGCTCTTTATTAGCGACATCCCAAAACATTGGATGGACTCTGGAAGGTTGTGAAGAAGGACTGGAATAAAATTAACCTTGATGCTTTCGGAAAAGGCCTTTTATCTTGGAAATCAAGATGTAATAGGATAGTTCAAGAAAAGGGTTATCAGACTGAAGATATTAGAAAATGAAATTCTAAGTTTGTAAGGATTTTAAGTTTTACTAACGTTTATTTTATTTTAAATTTTTGCTATCCTCTCTTATTTTCAATTTCCGGCCAGAATAAGTGCGATTAGTTTTGTTTATGCAAAGAGCTTGAAAACTGTTAAGTATTTAAGATATGGCTTTTAGCCAAAAGACAGAGTTAGAGAGAGAGAGACTTTTCGCTGCCTTACCACGCGCGTGCTTTTCTGTCAGTTCTTATGTGCCTTTAAGACCAGAACTTACTTCTCGCTAATTCTTAATAAATTAAAAAAAAAAAAAAAATTTGGCTGGTGCTTGCAAAGTCTATGAAAACATTTATCGTACTTGAAAAATAGAACAATGTTACATTATTTGTACACAAGCCAAAATTTAATATGTCTGAGTCTATTGAATATAGAGTGTGGCGAAAGCCGAATGAAGAATTGAATTTCAAAACCTATTGCCGATTGTTAAGCAGGGGGGGTGGAGACAAAATTTTTCGGGGATATTTCGCTGTCTTTGGGATAGAAAATAATACGAAACAGTTTAAATATACGTATATAGATTATAAGGTATTTCTCCCGCCTTCCTAGCGTGCCTTCGTGTTGTAGTAGTTCTGCACGCTGGGCCGGTATTTTAGAGGTCCGTGGTTCGAATCCCAGCGAAGGCGATTGCTCATTTTTCATCTCTCCGTCTTTTCCTATTAACCTAATGTCTCTACAACATATTTTTATTTTATTTTTAAAAAGTTTTATTGAATACTCGAAAGCATCTGCAAGAAAACTTGGAATGAAAAATATGGGTATGGCGTATATACAGAAGTACAAATACATATGATGCAATATTACAATTAATACAAAATCAGAATACAAATTGCTAGGGTTTATACAAATATATACATATATGTATACGTATATATATTATTTTTTTAATTATTATTTTTTTTAATAATTTTCTTTTTATTTTTTAATTAATTAAGATGCCTTAAGATGGCAAGAGGTCTTTTTCTATACTCCCTTATTTGGTAGTTGTAGTTAAGCATGGGTATGGTGGGGTTGGATACCCCTGGTATACTTTTATAAAATTTGTGGGCCAGGGTGGCCATATACTCGTGTATATAGGGAATATGGAATATGCGGTGAATTGCCGAGTTTCTGATAAACCATGGGCAACCCGCCGCTTGTCTTAGTACCACATTTTGGAGCGTTTGCAACTTTTTAATATTTGTGTCACAGGCATATCCCCAGACAGGGCAGGCATAAGGGATGATGGAACGTAACATGTCTTTGTAAATGAGTAATTTGTTGTCAGTAGAAAGAATGCTGTTCCGAGCAAGTCTTTGGAGTCGGATACTACTCTCAAAGAATCTCTAAGGTATTCTTTGACTACTCTTTCGTATTTAGAATTCTATAGAATTTGAAATTACATCAAACGTAATGTTGAGTGTTGATATTTTACCAAAAGTTGAAAAAAAATTGTTTCTATTTAAATTAAAGAAATGTCTGTTTTTCCTTTACTTTTTCCTTTAAAAAGTAAAAAATTTCTAAGCGATCGATAGCGATTACAACGAATAGATAGGATTAATTGTAATGCATTTCGTGATAAAGCACGTTTTCAGTAATTCTAAATGTACGCATTATTCATATATAATTATACATAAATTAGTTTCCTATTTTTTTTTCACACTACAAAAATGAGGCTTAGAACTTTGTCCCTTACACATAAAAGTTTCAAGTTTCGGACAGTAGGAAAGTAATGATAAGAAGAAAGTGAATGAATAACAACGGAAATTGATTAAAAAAAGAGAAAACGAGATATAAAGAAAACACCTTACAATCTGCCATGCCAATATTTGAAGATAACGAATCACTGGCACTCCAAATATGAAATCACCTACTTAGGTGATAAATATAAACGATACGATTTTTTAACCTTTCCTTCAATGCAATTTTTGATAAGATGAGACTACATACTTTAAAAAACTATAGTGATCTTTATTACAGTATGAATTCTAATTGTTGTAACAGCAGTTTTTAAGCAATATAGAGCAAATCTACGCATTATTATACAATTAAAAATGCTAAATCTTATTAAAGACTGAAACTTCTATCGTGCGATTGGTCAGCTTGGGATTGAATTTATTTCAAAGATTAAACTCCACCCTAGGAATTTTAAATGTAAACCATAGAAACGTTTATGTCCCCAAATACCGTATATTCCGGAGTATAACCAGCAATGTTAATACGAAAAATAGGACCGAAATTTACGGGTGCGCCGGATATAAAAATGATAGCTTAAAAGGAAAAAGTTAGATTATTTACATGCACCAAAATGCTGCTTATCTAAAAGAAATGACATACCTTATGAAATTAAACATTTTCATTATCGGATAACACGAAGAGTTTGTCCTGTTCTTCTTCCGTTAAACCTTCAGACGTAGCATCGAATTTTGTTTCATCTTCACCATCATTGTTATTTTGATCCACAAATAAATAATCATTATCTGTTCCATCTTTCCCAACACCAAACACACTTGCTGCATCAAGATTTCCCTTTTCTCTCGCAAAACGAACGGCTTTGCATTTGAAACCAGTACTGTGTTTTTTTCTATTCGCAGGAGCCATATTTACTACTTAAAGTAGCACTAGATCAACTGTATTTCAACTAAAGCAAATGCGATTTACTAAAGCCTTCGATTTTCACTTCAACTTCACGGCTTCAAATAACTACAAAAAGAGAAAACATGTAACTCCTAATTCCACGAATTCGTTCAGGTTGGAAGTGCTCTACAATAGCATTTTTTTGACATCTGCATTGAATACAATCCACCCTCTTTGCCGCAATATTTACTCCCTCAAGTATTTAACCCACACACATATTTTCCCCCTTATCACTTGTCATTGCGGTTTACCGTTGTTCGAATAAGTGACCTCTAAAGATAAAGCACTGCACATGTATCGTTTAGGTTTCTTCGCGAAGAATTGGGTGCGCGTTATATGGCGAATATATATACTATATAGCGAATATATCTAAAAATTTTTTAAAATATAGCTTTAAATTATAGATGCACGTTATATGTCAGAAACGGTAACTGCATTTTCGGCGTACGCAAGTATCAGTAATATATTTCCGGAATACACAATTCTAAATGAAAATTCTTCGGATAATGGATAAAATAACATCACATCCTTCTAAAAATTTCCCACGAAAGCTGTCTGTCTGAAGAGAGACATTCTTCCTTTTAAGCAGATAGCCTTCTAGTACTTTTATTATCATGAACTAAAACAGCAACAATAAAGGAAAACTGAAAACATTACTTCTGAAAATATTCGTTACCTGTAATAGCCGGAACTACTTTTACAGTCACTTCTTTCCAAGAATGCTGCACATCTGATAAAGAAAAAAAGAGGAAGCTGAAGCGATAAAAGAATTAAATGATTTAAGTATATGAGTTACTGAAAAATATCGAGACCAACATGCATTACCTGATTCTGATGTACCGCCGGACTCTGTACAGCTTGAAGAAGTCGGTTTTAAGATCAGTACCACATACTGGCGCCCTCCTGGGAATGTTCTTTTCTGGAAAAAGAACTAAACTACTTAACAACAGGAGAAAAAAATCATGTCAAGTTTAAAAAGAAAGCTACCCTCAGTTTGTAATTCTTTCTTTAAAAAGCGTTTTTTACTCATAACATTTATTGCTTCTTCCGTGGTGAGCTACTACTGGTCATTTATTAGTTACAAAGTAACAAAGTTTTAGATTAACATTATATTCTTCAATATTAGTCTGGAATATGTCAGAGAAATTTCATAAAAAAAATCACTTGTGCAGAAAATTTACTGGAAACAGTTTTTTTATCATAAGCAAAAAGTACAAAAATCTGATGTCGACACCACGTGACTTCCTTATACGGCCTATTAAACTATACACATTTTCTGCTGCATTTCATTTAAACTTATTTCTTCGAATTTAATTGGAGATCTATTTCTCATTTAATTAATTCAGTTCTCATTCCGCGGCAAAACAAAAATACATAAAATCGCCTTCATTAAAATTTGAAAAATATAGAAAAACATAAAACGCCAAATACAGTTAAAACAATTATTTTTCCAATAAAAATTACATCTTCTATGCAAAACCAAGCAATTCGATGAGCGTGCAAGAAGGCAGATTTTCGGTGCACAAAACTGAAAGTTTACTTTTCGTCCCACTCGGCAGAAAGACATTGAAGGTGCGAAAAGACATAATTCACTATTCTGCTAAGTTTCAAATGCAAAAAAAATATGGCTGTTCCATTAGCCTTGCCGCACTTAAACAATTTTTAAATTGTTAATAAAGGACTTCAGTAGCCTACAACTACTATTATATGCAGATTAACTAAAGGTATAAAAGCCTTAACTAGAACATAAGAACACCATAATTCAAACATTTTTTTTAAAGCAAAAAATACACAATTTACAAACATATAAGAATAAAGAAACTGAGCTCACTGAACCGAGTAACAGAGTGGGTATAGCAAATGCTAGTCCAACTCAGAAATTCAAATAGGTAGTTCTAGGTAAGTTAAATTAAAACTTGTTATTTACTAGCCTTATTGTTATTTTGATAGATTGTATATAGTTTATTTTAGGTTTACATGCACAATTCGTGTAGGGAAAGTTTTCAATAGGCAAGGGTTTCTAAATTACTTTGGTTTTCTAAAACATTTTGTTTTCTACTCTTAATTGACATTTAATTTTAATTCTAGTCATTTACTTCTATTTAAATTCCTACTGTTTAAATTTCTTTTTTAGTAATTCACAACATTTGCGAGGGTCTGCCCCGAGGTCTATTTCCCATGGCCTTTGCCAGAAAGATTTTCTTACGGCAAAGATTTTCATTCATTCCAGCCAGATGGCCAGCCCATTTAAGTCTCTGTAATTTGACGAATTTAGAATATCAGATTGTTAGTAAATTTTATAGAGTTCTAAATTAGATCTTCTTCTCCATGATCTATTAACCTGGACCTCGCCCCCAAGAGTGCTACGTAAGATTTTTCGCTCAAAAATTCCCAGAAAAAATTACTCATCGCGCAAAGTCAATGGCCAAGTTTCTGATTCATAAGTTAAGACAATTCTTATAAGACTTCTATAAGAAGTAAAATGTGTAAATTAGTATACTACCTGGGGGAAAAAGAATTATAGATTCCGCAGTTAAATTTGTAGTCATAGGAAATACTGAAGTAGCAGACATGAAAGATGAGCAATGCCCTCGCCGGGACTCGAACCTAGACCTCTCGAATAAGCTCCGAGTGTGCTACCGTTACACCACGAAGACGTACTAAAAGGAGGGAGAAAATACCTTTTAAAGGCAGGCTGGAATTAGAGGACTCAGTCCAAAGAAAGTCTATACATATTCTTTGCTCAGTCGCCAAATCCCGATAGTGAACAATCAGCATCCACTACCTTTTTAGTTCTGGCGCCACTGTAGAATCATTAATATTTTTGAACTAGGAAACACGAAAAATGAGCAATGCCCTCACCTGGACTCGAGCCTGGAGCTCTCGAATACGCGCAGAGTCTATTACCATTACACCACGAAGGCACGCAGAAAGGAGGGAGAAAATACCTTTTAAATTAATCACTGATCATGATATAAAAGACAAAATATGGAAAACATTATTTTTTTCCTTTTCTCAAAGAGTTAATTATATATAGATATGCCAGGTTTAAAGTTTCACTTATTTTCGCATGGGGTAATTTACGAAAATCTATCACTTAAATAGTTAATAAATAATTAGAAAAAAAAAATGGAATTATCGAGAACACAAATGGAACGCAGCAAAAAATTAGAAGTTGAATTGAGAAAAATACATGAATTTTAGGGCACAGGAAAGATAGGCTAACAAACTACCTATACTTTACAAGCAAAATTGCTCAGGTTTTCAAGAACAAGTTCATCTTCTTTAACGAAAGTAGAGCAATACCACTTACGAAATAATACGAAATTTATACTAATTACGACATTAATACGAAATTTTTCGTGAAACAAAATGGACGCTTGACATCGTAAATCTTTACGACAGAAACATCGTAAATCTATACGAAAAAACATTTCAATAGCTTTCCATTCTCTGCTGAATAAATAACCTACCAATTCATACCGAATATTGCAAAAAACTTAAAATATAAGGGTAACTGATGTCATAAGTATATATTTTAATTAAATCCGAACAACATGCGACGTACTTTCGCTTTTCTTCCTTGTACTCAGTAAAGGAAGTACTGTAATCGCGAAAATTTTCGGGGTGCTATATTTCCATGAAAATATCCATTTTGACCGCTATCGAATGCAATTCAACTAGGTTCTTACGTGACATATGTACGTAAGGACACAAAAAAGGACTCTTTTCCCCAAAATGGGTTGCAAAAAAAGATTTAAAATGGATTCAAGAGAGATTTTTTCGTGACGTCTAGACGTACGTACGTATGCAGGTATTTATCTCGCATAACTGGGCTGTTGTAACATGTAGTTGTGCACCTCTCTTTTTGGTTGCAATCGGCCGCACCAAACGTAAATATATAGATACACACTCTGTTACTCGGCTCCGTGAGCTCAGTTTTTTCTTAATGCTTATATGTTGGTAATTGAATTATGCTGTTCTTATTTTCCGGTTAAGGCTTTTATGCGTTCAGTTAATTTGTATGCAATATTACAGAATTATCAACAATTTAAAAGTTGTTTAAGTTCAGTTAAGCCTAATTTTTTACAATAGCAGCCCTATTTGTTTACATTTCAAACTTAGCAGAATAGCGAATTAAATCAGTTTCTGCACATTCTTTTTTTTTTTTTTTTTTTTTTTTTTTTTTGGGTCGAGTGGGACCAAGAGTAAGCTTTCAGTCTGGTGCACCGAAAAATATACCTTCTTGCCCGTTGACCGAATTGCTTGTTTTTGCGTAGAAACTCTAATTCTAAAAACTGTTCTTTAATTGTTTTAACTGTATTTGGTATTTTATATTTTTCTATATTTTTCAACTTTTAATAAAAATATTTTGCGGTTTTATGTATTTTTGCCTTGTCACGAAGAGAAGCCTGCATTAATTGAAGTGTCGAGTAATGATAATACCTCTCGGGGGAACGGGAAAAAAAATTAAACTCCAGCGCGAGACTGTGTATCGAAATTCTAAAGGTAGGCTGTTTTGCTGGTTTTAAATATTTTGTAATACTGCCGTTGAATTGAATTTTATGTGTTTTAAATGCGAAGAACACAATATTTAATTAATAAAATTAACTCATAAAACGTTAAAAAACGCCGTATTGTGCGTCATATAAAATCTAAAAAAGCTTTCAGTTTTTTTTTTTTTTTTTTTTAAATAATGTAACATGAAAATCTAAAGAAGGGATGCTCTGCCAGAAAAATTAAAATACACAGGGAAGGCTATTTAACATTAACTAAATGGCTGTATCACTAATTTGGCGAGAAATCGCCAAAAGTCGCCAAACTTCGTTGATCATTTTGCGACATTTTGTATATAACTGTAATGGGTATTGCAATTGAATAACTGTAATTAATCTACATATGCAACTGTAACCGTATCCGGCCCTCATATACCTTCCAGTAATTTCGAGAATTGCTAGAGATTTTTTGGCTGCCAGGGGAAAATTTTACAAGACCGGAGAGAGCGTCAGTTTTGGAATAGTAGAAGTTAACTCAGAGCTGAATTCGAAGTAATGAGATGTTGGTTTCGCCTTTTCGCTTTGCATTGCGTTGTGTTTAACGTTCATAGCGGTTCGAAGTGTAATTGCTGACTGTATTCTATGCTACTGTGAAGAGCTGTACGAGTATTTTTTTTTTTTGGAAAGTTCCAGAAGTGTGAAGTGTTTCTTTTGGTAAAAGTGAATTTTATCAAGGTGTCATCCATTCCGTGTGCATTCAGTTTATTACGAACCCGTACAGCACGCAAGAATATAAAATTTGCTTATGGTTTTTTTTAGTCGCGAGGATATTGCTTTGTTTTTGATGGAAGATGGTCATGAAATAAATTGAGTCATTAGATCATATCGATGTTACACTGTATCTTTACATAGTGTCTAAAAAGTGTTTTTACATAAATATCTGTCATCCTTACGGTGAACCCGTAGTCAATGCCCAGTCTTAAATGCAATATTAGTTTCAATTACAATAGTCATCACATAATGTAAAATACATATTTCAATGTAGAATACAAATTGCTACTGTTCTGATAAATGCAGTTACCCGTGTGCACACTAAATTGATAAAGTCTTAGTCTTACACTACGAGACTAGCAGAGTTAAGGCACAGTGGAGGTAGGTCCATCCTTTTGGATGGTGAAAATACGGTTTTTCGTCTACTAATGGCAGAGTTCTTTTCCGCGGACAGTTTTATCAGATGTACTAGTATTTTGCTAATTCTGCTAATTTTCTAACTGGTATTCTACTAATTTAATGATTAATGGTAGTGGTTCGTCAATAATGGTGAACTCACAGTCAAATGTTTTGCGAGAACGATATGCGCCGCGGATGATTTATAGTAGAATAGTTCGTAATGCTGTTAATCATATAAAACACTATGTTACTTATCTGTATTTTTGCAGCATCTACTTTTTATAACAATTATTCTTGAAGTATCAGGGTTGAAATGTTGAATAGATTAAAATTGTACATGCTTGCTGCGTACTTACCGTAATAGCAATGCCAGACTGCCGAGTAAGAGTCTGGTAGTATCCACCTTGTTCAACAGTCCTAACCGAATCATACAGAGGACACTAGAAATGGAAAAGGAATCAAGAATAATCACGAGCACTAATTTAAATATAAATTTCTTGTAGCAATATCAAACATCCAACTACAGCTTGCACACACACATACACTGTGTCTGCTTATTGTAAGATAATACCTTTGCAGGCACACTGCGCAGAAAAAATGCCAAAATTCACGTATATCTCAAGAAATTTTAAATAAAACTCTAATTTTTTTGCAGGTAGGCTTAGAAATGCATCTACATTTAAGAGGATGGTAAAAATTTCATAGGTTATAAATCCGACTTTTTTCGAAAAATTTACAAATATCCTTTAAAAATACAAGTTTAAAAAATAAATGATAAACAATGGGCGAATTTTATTTGGAATGAACCGAAATTTAGAAATTTAGAAGGAAGAATCGAATAAGTTTAATAAAAAAAAGAGATATTAATAAATATATACCAAATTCAATTAACATGGAAGAGCTTATATTTTGAGAGCTAATTTTTTCAAAACTGCTCGTGCGATTTTTACAAAATTTGGCACTTTGGCGTCATTTGAATCGTAGAATCGAACTATGGAAAAAAATTGGTATGCTATTTCAAAAGAAGTTCGATTTTGCGTCAAAATACCTATGTTAGAACAATGCTATCTATAAATCTCGGCCCAGCAGTACGCGAGATATAGAATTACCCTTTTTTTTGTGTGTGTGTGTGTGTGTGTGTGCAAGGTGTACGTGATGCATTTATTTTAGGAGGTAATATTTATTATTTATTAGCTGATAATATAAATTATCAAAAAGTTAAATCAGAATCTAATGCAGCATGTTAAATTTGAAAACTAAAATAAAAAAATGCAGTCCTTTATTTAGTTCATTCTATTTTCGAAACAAAATATTTTTGTCATCAATGTTATAATTTGAGTCAATGTAAAGATGATATTTGCGAGTGAAAATTAAATTCGCTGAGCGTGGATTTACACAAATGGAAAACTTTCTTGAATACGATAATGAATTCCGAGAGATTTTCGAATCTTTCAAAGCTTTCGTCCAATAATAATAATGCGAAAAAAATTTCTAAATATTAAAAATTTTTAATTAAAGCCAAATGTTTAATATGACTTTAATGAAAGAAAAATTTAAGATCATATTTTAAAAGAATACATCTATATTGCAAAGGTGATGCAAAGGATATAAAGTAAAAGTACATAACTGAAACTCTTGGAAACTTGAGGTTCATTTTTTTCATTCGAGATATAATTCAAAGAAAACAATTTGAGTGACAAAGAAACTTTTTCTAAAGTTTAATATGAATAAACACTAAGCATGGAACGCTAAATCCTCTTCGAAAAATAAAAAATATTACATTCAAAGCCATCACAGGGTGACTTAAATGAACCGTAATTACAATAACATTCTTTTTTGACATTATTACAGCTAACCTTACGCGCAATGGCAGACCGCACATTGAGTTGAACAATGTTAAGCAAATTTCGCTTAGTGCGCATGCTTGATGGTGTACCTTTGGCGCGGGGAGAAATATCGGCGAGCAACCCTACGATAGCTTATTCGTGATCACCATGGCTGTCCGAGTGAGGTCGAGTGATGTTTACAACTGTAAGTGATGTGGAACTTTGTTTATTATTTATTTTAACGTCCATACCGATTGCACTTGCCTATTTTCTAATATCTTCATTTGTAATTTGTCAATAAGCAGTGCATTTAATATTTGTTAACATATATTCGTGCCATAATTCGTTATTTAAATGTAATTTGTTTACATGTTATAATTCAGTAATTGTAAACTGGATTTTCTCGCTTAGTTTGTTAACGTATGTTCGCGCTTTTATTTATCTTATTTCAAAGAATTAATAACTAGCATTAAGGAATTGTAAAACTTCTTCAGTGTTATTTGCAAGCACTTGTTATATCCCTCAGTGTTTCTTTATGTATGTACGAATAGAACGTATGGTAAATCCTGAATTGTTTTTATTACTTAAAAGTATAATGAATAAATTTTCAACTAATATATCCTAAATTTCAGTCTTTTTCTGAACGAAAATTATGCAGTTCCAAAGGAATGTGCAGAATTTCATAGGTATTATATTTTACATTTTGAATGCAAACACTGCTTCACATTACTTCGCAATAATTTCAGCTTTCTAGTTGTTTGAGCAGTACAGCAAAAAATAGTATTTTAACACAGTAATTAATTTACATTTACATTATACTCTACGAAGATTTAAACGCCAGATTTGTTTACAATCAGATGGCGGTACATCTAACATATACCGTATTTATTTTCTTTTCAAAGCGCGCCAACATAGTAATTACGCCAAATAGTTTTCTGGGCATGCGCAGTATGCGACATTCGTTTAACACTGTTCAACTCAATGTGCGGTCTGCCATTACGCTAACCTTACCAAGGTTTTGAGTTTGACGGTTAACGGGCTTTCAGATTAAGGTCACCGGTGGTACGTGTACCATTGGTGGTAGGCCAGAGAAAATAGGTGGTACTTAAAGAAGCAAAGTATTTTTAACTATTAAATTCAAAAATTAAAACTCTGACATCCTGATTGAGTTTCCTAACACTCGTAAATTTATACGATCTGAGCTTTGTTTGAAGAGTGGTGGTGGAAGTAGTAATACCTTGTAGTGGTGGTACTAAAGGTTTTCAATTTTTGCTTAGATGGTAAGCGTTAGTCAAAAGGTTGAGAACCGCTGGTCTAGAAGATTCGAAAGACAGAATTCGGATTTTTTCAACTTAGAATCCTTTTTAAGATTCATGCCATTCGAGAGTTCCATTCCTAATAAAATAAAGCGCTACATGACATTTGAGGGTGTTGTTGCCTTGTCTGTGATAAAGCATATTTAAATACTCGAAAGCCTATTCAGATTTGCAAAATGCTAACGTCATAGAGGTCCGGTGTCTTAAACAAGCCCCCAGTTTTTAACAATTCAGCAAGGATGGCCGATAATCACAAATGTGTGCTGCTGTCAGTTATCAGAGTTCCTGTAGGTTTTCCTATCCCCTGTCAGTTTTGTGATGACTAGTTCTAAGTCTGACTATGACTTTAATCATTACGAGTCATAAGTCCATCTCCACTGATGTTATGCAACTAGCGCTTTATTGACATTGACAGCTTCTTCAATCTGTATTTGGCTATAGCACTTGGGGAGGGTGAAATTTACGTTATCATTATTTTTGAGATTTCGAGCCTCCTTTGCCACTTTATCTGCGTTCTCGTTTCTGTGATGTTGACTTGCGCTGGCAACCATTGAAGAAGGCAGACCTTATCTAAATTTTGAAAATTTTGAAGATATTGTAAAATTTACAAATTTTACAAAATCTATACATATAAAGAAAAAATGTCTGTTTGCGTGTTTGTTCCCGTTATTATTTTCTGATTAACTATGATAATTTTTTTGCCACATTTAATGGACAAAAATTGAATATAGGTGAAATATCTTTACGGCCATTTAATCAGAGAAACGAAAATCATTAAAACCTGAGTGCCATTGTTGCTGATATAACGAGAGAGAATTAGTTTATTTTTCCATCGAAATTTTTTATGTGGGTTCCACATCGCATCAGACTGAAAAATGTGACTATGAATCTTATTTTTTGCATAGTTAAGCAATGCAAAAAATAAGACTTATTGCAAAAAATAAGTTATTATTGCAAAAAATTATTTTTTGCATAGTTATTAGAAAACGATTACAGCGGTTCTATATTCTAGAACATATAAGCAGTTTTGAAACCTATTCTTCCTTAATAAATATTTAAAACATAATTTATATATATATATATAAAATATAATAATAATGTATAATATATAAGTAATTTTGAAACCTATTCTTCCATAATAAATATTTAGCACTCTTATAAGATTAAACAAATCATTATAAATCATTGTCGTAAAAATCTGCTAAATTATTTTATTTCAAAGCTCAAAAAGTGTGCGCATTATCTTTCCAAAATGAAATTTAATTTGTTTAACCGCAGTTGTAACTTCAGATACACAAATAATATTTTGACAAAATTTAGCACCAGTACATCAACAAATAGGAAAATACAAACACAAATCAGACAAAGGAAATGCGCTAAGTTCGGACTAATAAAAAACGCGCGTTTAGCGAATTTTCGAGAGATCTTCAGGTAGATATAAAGCTATCAGAAAGATCGAGTTATATTACTCGAAAGTGAAGATAATTCAGCGGGAAGGAAATGACGTGAAGAGCACAAATGTAAAGATGCGTGCTTTAAGCAAATCAGTGCAATTTGCAATGTACGAGGAATCGCGAATAAAAGAGTTTTGTGAAATCATGCAGCACATAAATTGGCACTGTAAAAAAACAACTAGGTGATTAAATACAGGGTGAATCCGAACAAGAGGGCAAAACGTTACGGCGTGATAGAGGCCGTAAAGCAGGATAGCTATACGAGAAATATTCGTCATGGAATATATGGTGGGAACGCGGGAACGCAAGCGGTGAGAAGCATAGGGTTACTTTTCCATTGTCACATTTAAAGAACTGACACAAGAATGAGATTAGATACTTCAGAAAACCTTTTATGAACAGAACATGATCACAGAACTCCTCAAAAGACCTTCTGCCAGCTGTAATTCAGGCTTCACACCTGCGGGATAGGGGGGGGGATCGACGCACATTTGCGAAGACATCAGGCATTTTCCAAATATCGCCGGCAACAACGGCGACTAGACCCATATTGATTTCAATGGAGGACTCGAAGATTAGGCTTTTCATATGACCCCACAGGCAAAAGAGATCCGGTGATCTTAGTGGCCAAGCTATGAGACAGCCTCGAGCCATCCATCGCCCTGGCAATTTCGCGGTTCGTATAACCAGCAATCCTCTCGGCAATCTACAGTAGAAAATGCCATTGGGGAGTGACTGACTGATTAGCTATCGCCGGAATACCGCACGAAGTGAGGTTTCTCCGACTCAATCAATTTATTTCCACATGGGCGCATCACGTTAGACTGTGAGTACAGAGACTGTTCACACATTTTTTAGACGATGTATATTGTATTCACAAAACTAAATTACATAAAATTCTCGTGTTTTAAACGTTCTATTTGACATCCCTTATTCTGAACTATTTTTCGACACCTCAATTTCCAGAATAATAATGCCTTTTGAAGTGGCAGAAGAGGTATTCTATCCCATTCCTCCCGAACAGCTTCCAGAGTCCTGTTAGGGTTTTAAGACAACGTTAGGATAATGCAGTTTTTAAAAGTCCGAAAGCACAAAAATCCATAGGTGACACATCGAGAGATTTAGTAGGGATATCAGTGAAGGGTATGGTCTTTATACCAGTTTTTTGTTCCATTTCTTTTAGGAAATTTACAGTGGATTTTGATGTGTGACTGCTAGCTTTGTCCTGATGGAGTCTCACAGATGGATGGCACTGTGGGTAAAGCGATGGTATCTCATTAAGAAAAATTGGCGATAAAATATGTTTCTGATAGTATTTGGAGTTAATCTTGCCATTTTTTTTCACTCTTTTTATTTTTAACTTGCCATTATAAGAAAAACCAGCAACAATCATGAATCCCTTAGAAAAACTTTCTTTCGATTCTTTGAACCATGTACTTAAATTTGTTTCTCCCCTTTTATGATAATAAACGGCTCTTTTTTTATTACAGTCATTTGAATACGCCCATGCTTCATCTATTGTGACAATTGTTTTCCATTTTTCTTTGGATAAGTGTTTCTCACATAGAATTCTGCAGCGTGTCCTGCGTTGAGCGATATGCTTTGGAAGAAGACGATGCACATTGCGTTTTTTCGCTTTCTTAAGATTTAAATCAACGTTTATCATTTTGTTTACGGTGGACACCGAGCATTTTAATGATTTTGCAACTGTCCTTTGACTAGGGGGATTTTCTTTTAACATTAAACAACGTACCTTGGCAATAGTCGAAGATGTCCGTTTTTTCCTTGGATACTTATTTGGAATTTTTGTCCCACTTGAGGCTCCAATTTGAAGTTTTTTTCCTTTCTTGTTGATGATATTACCCATCGACGCTTTAGATATCACAAAACCATGACTCTCACATCGTTTTTGGATAACGGAGTATGCATATTTCTCTTCGGAAAGAGCGTAAATGTAGCCTTCGAACCACTGCTTTGTTAAATTCGCCATTTTGAATAAAAACAAAACTTTCAAGCCACAGACGATAATTTTGACTTTTAAAAACATAGTACAATTGCAATTACTTCTTTTGCAGCAAACGATTTTTTATTACGGCTTACCAAAATCGTCTAAAAAATGTGCGAACAGCCTCTGTACATTAAACCCATAGGCAATGAGGAGCTAGGTAAAAGGGTACCGGAACATCGCGCAGTCGAAAATTCAACGTTAATGAACAGACAAAACGTGATGAGTATACCGTCATAATTCTGTGTGAGAAAGGAAAGCAAACACGGAAAAAAAAAATAGAATAGTACTTACAATAAGAAGTCTATATGCAATATATACACTATGTACGTGTAGCTACGCGGCAGTAATCCCAAGTAGGAAAATTTGAGTCTTTGGTGAGGTGGGCCGCTAACGGTCTAATACTACAGTCCTCCTCCAAAATCACATAATTCAGCGTGTTCAGATTCGACAGATGAGCACAGTTAAAATTTCTCAGACCTTATACAAATGAAGTAGGAAAAAAACTTCCTATTTCTAAAGAAAATCAAGTTTTCGTCTAATGAAAACAGTAACATCTGCTTTAGATATTAAAAAAAGGCTGCATAGTAAAATACTGAGAAAATGCGCAGTAGATTTGAGCTGAAATCATTTATGTACAAGACTATCCTTCTGTGAATGTCTATTATTGGAAATTTAATTTCGAAGATTAGGCTTGGTATCTTATTATGTCGAAACTAACATAATTATTCTAATAATAATTATGTTAGTTTCGACATAATATGATTATTCTTCAATGAGTATAGAGACGTAGAATACTTTGTACGCGTAATGAAAAACTAGCAAAAGTATGCGGAAAATAATAATTAATATATTTATTAGCTTTATATCCATAAATAAAGACTGCAATTATCATTCCTGTTGGTTTTGCATCCAAAAAAAAAAAAAAAAAAAAAAAAAAAAAAAAAAAATTGCAGCGTAATTGATTTTTAAGCAAAAATTAAAACTTGGTGAAATGGTAAAATCACTAAATACATACACTGGCCAATGAATTAGAAACCCAAGATCAGCATTTTATTGGTCCACCTTTTTGCACGGATAACTGCTCTGATTCGATTGGGCATCGAATCTACATGCTTCTTGAATGCATTTACGTCAAAAGAATGCCATGCATTGCCTATGCACCTTTTTAGATCTTGTAAATTAAATGGAAGAGGAGAGTGCTGTCGGATGCGTCTTTCCACCAAATCCCACACATGTTCTATGGGGTTAAGATCCGGGCTACGCGTTGGCCAGGCAAGGTAATGGAAGTCGGATTGAACACTTCTGGCACGATCGCAGCAAAAATATATACAGTTGCATTATCGTTGTATAGTTGCATTGTCGTCCATGAAGTATCCGTCACCATCAGGGTAAAACTGCAGCATTGCAGGGTGCACTTGATCTACCAGTATATTTAGGTATCTCATGGCTGTTTTTTTACCCTCCAGGAACACCAAGGCACCACTTCCATGCCAACAGAGCATGCCCCATATCATGATACTCCCACCAGACCCTTGCACAGTGCAAGTAAGGCAAGATGGATTCATGGCTTCATGGTTTTTTTTTGCCAAATTCAAAGTTTTCCATCAAATGCGAATGCAAAATGAGGTGTAGCGTGATTCATATGACCACATTACACGTTTCCAATCCTCAGGTGTCCAGTGTCTTCTTTCCCGACAACATAGCAAACGAATTCTTGCATGTCGGGCAGGATTGAGTGGTTTTTCTCACAGGCACCTGACTATGTATGCCTATCCTCTGCAATTCTCTGCGCAGGGTTCGAGCTGAAATGTGTTGGAAAGAGCCTTGGTTGACGATCTGTGTCAGTTGGAGCACAGTAGAGTCCCTGTTCTGCCGTACAGTTCGTCGGAGACGCCGCCGATGACCGCAGTTACGTCTTCTCTTCTAGAGAAGAAGAGCGAGCCGAAAGTCATCTCGAGAGGTTGCTGGTAGGGGAAGAGGGATGGGAGTCGCACTGTCACTTGTAAGGTACTCAAGGCTGGAATTTTGTAAGCTTGGGTTGACCGTAGGTGAGACAAGTGAGCATTAGAGCCTTAGAATAAAAGTTTAGTTCTAAATTACTATAACTTTTATGGCACGGAGAGGAGAAAAATTAAAAATTACTCATGATGTATGAAACATGTTTTTTTTTTTTTTGTTTTGTTTTCGGGAGGTGAACAAACAAAAAGGTGCTTAACTCACTTGAACGTCTTGTATTGCAAGAATCATACAACTTTCATCTTTAGACGTCGCTTCTATCCTTACAGCTCGCAGATCTTTTTCCATATCGTACTGCAGAACACGAGGCTTAGATGGTGTAATATTGACCGCTATAGGAGTTTCCTTACTGAAAAAATACTCGAAATGTAAGCTTACTCATTTCATATAAACTGCCCATAAAAAATAGTACAAATTTCATGCGTGAGAATCATTAGTAGGAATAGAATGTCAAGCTTTCTAGCAATTTCATAAATATGAAACACAGATACTAGTTTGCATCTCAAGCATAAAGAGACAAGTTCCAAGAAGTTAGAAAAAATTTAACACATATCACTACGCCATTTTTCAAAATGAGTTATACAATCTGATGTGGACACCACATGACTTCCTTGTATGGCCTATTAAATTATATACATTTTTTGCTGCATTGCATTTAAACGTATTTCCTCGAATTTCATTAGACATATATTTCTCATTCAATTAATTCAATTCTCGCTTCGGATAAGCAAAAATACATAAAAACCCAAAACATCTTCATTAAAAATTGGAAAATACAGAAAAACACAAAATACCAAATACAATTAAAACGGTTAAAAAATAATTTTTACAATTAGAGTTTCTACGCAAAAACAAGCAATTCCGCCAGCGGGGAAGAAGTGCACAAAACTAAAACTTTACTTTTGGTCCCACTCGGCAAAAAGACATTGAAGGTGCAGAAACAACTTAACTCACTATTCAACTAAGTTTCAAATGTAAACAAATGGCGGTTCGTTAGGCTTAACTCAAAACTTAAAGTTACCATATAAGCCACAATTCTATAACAATTGCATGCAGATTAACTAAAGACAAAACCTTAACCGGAACGTAAACGCTACTTAATTGAATTACTTTTAAAGCTAAAAATGCACAGTCTGCCAAATATAAGAATAAAAAGCTAACCTCACAACGGGCAACAGAGTGGGAATGTATTTACATAATTCATAAATAGAAAACTTTATATACCATTTCCGAGGAACAGAATTTAAATTAAAAACCATGAACTATTAAAATTTTTTTAGTCAGTATTTGAAATTAGTATTTTCTAGACCTCTATTGCTATAAAAATATAATCTGTTGTAAAGAAAAATCCTTAATCGCAAAAATACCAGAATCAGAAGTAACAATTTTAGGTATTGAAAAAGTAGCTGTTGTCATTGATCGCATATTAATCGACTTGTCAAGTGGAAAAAAACAAAAACTAATATACCACCAATTAACAACAACTAAATTAAGTGAGAGTGTTTCATCTTTCTTCCAAGTAAGCATCAAGTTATATTTCTGCTACAGCCAAGTTAGAAGTCACGAATAATACTTAATCAAAATAAAGACATTCGTCCATCTAAGCCAAAGGAATCCTCATAAACAAAATAAATTAGTAAATAATCTTTTACATTTAAATTGCTCACTAAGAACGCAACTAAATGGGATCATTACTTTAAAAGATACATCCCAGACACTCTCCTTTTTAAACTGAAATTGAAATATATATTTCATAGGTTGTGCACCTATGATTGCACTTTTTCGCTGCAATCGGCTGCACCAAACTTATATATATATATATATACATACAATTCGTGCAACCGATTGCAACGAAAAAGGGAGGTGCACAATTACATGCTAGCTGTTTTGAGGTTTTATGTATTTTTGCCTTGCCGTGAAATGAGAGTTGAAAGAATTGAATGAGAAATCTACTGATGAAATAAGTTTAAATGATATACAAGAAAAAATGCGTATAATTTAATATTCCGTACTATGTTGTGTAAACATCAGATTTTTTTATTAAACTCATAGTAGTTTTTCTAAAACCGAAAATCATTTTCTAGGAATGTGATTACTTTTTATTAATCTGAAACTGATTTATAGGAATTTGAAATACTGATGAATGTGATTTTCTTAAATAAACTTTTAGCTAATCTATTTAGAGAAAAAGCTTTCTTAATTAATTATCAACATTTTATTTTCTTTATATGCGTATCTAGTTCTCCGTCAAAAGACTCATATGAATACTCACAAATTTTAAATAACAACGCAAACAAGTTATTAAACGTCAAAAGTTGTAAAGAAAAATATAATGAAAATTTAATTTTCATGTCTACTTACACCATGACGAAATCGTTGACAGTAGCCAGTTCTAATTGATAATCGACCCACACATCACTGCTGGTCGAAACTTCGATTGAAATATTTTGAATTCCTGGTTTGAGTTTGGAATCGAAATAATTGGCCAGAGGACACAGTGTGTGGCAAACATCTGTAAATGGGCTAAAAAGGGAAAGAAATAGTTAGTAAGTCCTAACATAGTGTTACACGAGTTTAATTCAAAAATGTGTTTTTTTTTATTATCTTATTTTAGAATTTAAAGCTTTACTTTTGATAAAAAATGTATTTCTTAATATCTCTGTAATCGGGCTGTATAAACTTAAACAGGCGTAGCTTAAGCTTTCGTATCGTCAAAACGAAAACAACGATCTTTTTTGTCCTGGCTTTTAACACTCATTCAGCGTGAGTTTGAAAGAATCGGAGAATGCAACGAGGCAAGAAAAAGTATGTGGTCATCTCAAAATGCTTTGGGCATTCATATATAGGTGGCGCTTTTACACAAAACAGTTAAAGCATTTTTCAATAATATTACATTAGTGAATGATAGAGTTGTATATATACTGACACTTTGTGAGGTATTTCTCCAGCCTTCTTAGCATGCCTTCCTGGTGTAGTAGTCAGCACACTCGATGCGTGTTCGAGAGGTCCGTGGTTCGAGTCCCGGCGAGGGCATTGCTGATTTTTCATCGCTCCTGCTTCGAAATAGCCTAATGTCTCTACAGCGTATGTACAGATGTCGGGAGAAAAATCTCTTTTGAATCCATTTTAAATCCGTTTTGGGAAAAATAGTTCTTTAATCTGTCCTAACGTACAGATATAGCTCGAAAAGATTCTGTAGAAATGCAGTTAAGCATATAAGTTATTTCTTCCTTCTTCTTAGCATGCCTTTGAAGTGTATTGGCGCGAATTCGAGAGGTCAGTGGTTCGAGTCCCGACGACGGCATTGCTCATTTTTCATCTCTCCTGCTCCGAAATAACCTAATGACTCTACAGTGGCGCCCGAACTAAAAGGCTGGTGGGTGATGATTCTCCACCACCAGGATTTCGCGATTGGGTCCCCTAATACCCTTCGCCCTTTAAAATAGGGAGTACGTAAGGTATTTCTCCCACCTTCTTAGCATGCCTTCGTGGTGTAGTGGTCAGCACGCTCGGCGCGTATTGGAGAGGTCCGAGGTTGTAGGGCATTGCCAATTCATTGTTATTTATCAAAAATAACCTAATGTCTCTACAAGTTTATTTGTAGTGAATTTTCTGTTTCTTACTCCGCCGGTTTCTCATATTATTTCTCACATGTCCGTGAAAAACCGTATTGAATTTCGACTGTCCGCGTTACGTTTCGCCACATGTTCTATTCACCTTGTGTTAAAATATTAAGTCTTAATGTGAAACTTAAAATGTCTTAATATGAAACTTAAAAAAAATATTTCCCTTCTCCAAACAAACGTAACTCCTCTTTGACTGGTTTCACGCAAACTCGTCGAGAAGTTCTTTTGTGATAGAGTGCCGTGGCCTTCGAGAAACGTGTTCTCGAAGGTCACGATGTTGCCCTCCTGCGGATCCCCTAGGGCCATGGCCAAGCATGGCCAACTACTTCCTCTAGTTGGCCATGCTAGGGACCCCTTGTCTTCTCAAGGCGAGGTTGACAATTGAAAACTTCCACCGCACGTCTGCGGCCCCCGTGCCTTTGCCATGGAGGTAGGAAGGTCCTTTCTTACCTCCATGGCCTTTGCTGGGCGTCTAGACACGTAATAATAAAAACTGAAACACAGGCCTTTTTGAATCTGCGCCCCACGCAGTAAAGCCTCTCCTTGCCCGTGGAGGACATGGTGTGTTTTGAACGGATAACTGAAAGCACCAGATAATATTCCGTACGTGTGAAATAAAAGGAGCCGCCTGCATAGCGGCTCCCAGCGCATTTCCAAGGTGTGCGCTATAAATGGTGCATTCGAGTTGCTTGCAGATCGAACGTTCTGTTGAGCGTAGAAAAGCTCCCTGGTTGATCCTGCCAGTAGTCATAACTGTGGCAATGCTAGAGCTAATAAATGCAGCAGAGCTCCGACCCTCTGGGGACGAGCGCTTTTATTAGACCAAAACCAAAATTTTTATTAGACAAAAAAAAAAAAAAAAAAAAAAATTAAAACTTTGGGCTGACCTCACAAGCTTGTTTCGACGACGAGCCTGTGCGGTCAGCCCAAAAAGTGTCTGCGTTATCAACTGTCGATGGTAGATTACGCGCCTACAATGGTCGTAACGGGTGACGGAAACTTTTTCTAAATTTAGTGTCGTAAGAAAATATAATAAAATTACTTGCTATAAAACGGAATGTCGAGTTCGAAATAAATTATTAGTCAATTACATTTCATTGTTTCTTATTCTAATTTATTGCAAAATTAGCAGGTCTGTTCTACTTCAGAAGCACGCTGTTTTAATAGGAAAAGGGAGTTAAAAATCTGTTTTAGTTTCTTATTGAATAGTGGAAGTTTTAGTTGTATTGAAAATTAAATGTAAACAAATCTGTCTAAAAATATCTTATACTGACGATTTAATTTTTCTGATCTTTGACATTTATATCAGTGTCCTTACTAGATTTCTTAATTCGCTCTTTAAATATACACGTAAATATCTTGCAAATGGCTTAATCTGTTTTGCGTTTAAAAGTGTGCAACGTGCGAATGTAAAACCACACAGTGCACCCTCATGTACACATATATGAATTTAATATGACTAAATATAATAATTTATATTATAAATTTATTACACATATCATTTCAGAGGATTATTATTATAATTGTGTTGAGAGATAACGCCACGGGAAAGCAAAATCAACAATCAAAACATATATTTTTTTGAAAATTATAAAAATGTAAAGAACGAATTTTTTCGTTTCTCAGTTTGAGTTGTTTTACTCATGTCCGATTATTTCGTGTTATGCACGATTCCCTCCTTTGTCGACCACCACTCAGTTCCGTTTATGTCGTATAATAGGAACTCTTCTTTACGCATTAAAAAAGAATAATTTTAGAGACATTTAGCATATCGATATGTTGCCGATGACAAAGATGAATATTAAAATAATAAAGCGCACCTTGTCGTTTCTAATTAAAATTTTACTATGAAATAAATGTGTAAGGCATTTTATATTAATTAACCCGTTATTATGATTTAGATCTTGACTATAACTTTCTGTATTCACCACCAGAATGCAGTTTTTGTGTATTTCAGTTGAAGGTCTCGAATGCTTAGATCAGAACTTCTGCCAACCGCGTCTTCCTGTTGGTTAATACTCGCCAGCTCTGCTTAAAGTTAAATTTCGGCCTTAGCATTTTGCTAGACGATACTTTAAATTGCGGGTCGGTTATTACGTAAGCCACCTTAACTTAGTCTACTTTATATGTAGTCTCCGATTACATTATCTTCATCTGAATTTAAATTCTAAATCATTTTAAAACCCACGAGGAATGGAAGTTTCGTCTGTAGCACAAATCGCGCCTGTTCTGTTCAGTTCAAGACTGAATAAAAAACTTATTTTAACCATCTTTAGTATTGTTTAAGACGTAGCGATAATCCATTTACCGTCTTATAGTCTCAACAGAAACTCTTCTGATGTTACGTAAATACATCCTTTGTCAGAAAAGTTCCAGAACAATTGATTTTTTATTTCTGAGTTTAGAGTACTAAAATGAAAAAAAAAAAAAAAAAAAAATGTTTTTATGTTACCTAGTATGTATTAGTACTTGATATGACCTTGGCCATGTTTCCGCATAGACATACTAGGTGCAGGGCTGTGCTTAGAAACACACTGTTCGTATTGTTGCCGCATTCGTCAAGGTGATACAGTGAATGCTGATGGTGAGCACAGAGTGAACATTAAGTTCTGCGTTAAGCTCGGGAAAACCCCCAGTAAAACGTGGAACCTGATTAAGCAAGCAGTGCAGGCGAGGCTCTTTCAAGAAGTTGTGTTTTCGAGTGGCACAAAGGTTTCTTGAAGGCAGAGATTCCGTGCAAGACGATCCCAGAGCTGGTCGTCCGTCTATAACACATACCAATGGAAACGTGGAGTGGGTATGGTAGTTATTGCAAGAAGACGTCGTGTAACTGTGCACATGATATCAGGAGAACTGAATAAGAATCGTGATGTGTGTCATAAGATTTTACACGAAGATTTAGGGAAACAGTAAGTTAATGCAAGAATCTTCCTTTGCTCACTCACAGATGAACAGAAAGAGGAAGATTTTCTGCTGATTTATTGGATGGAGCGAGACGTGGTCCCACATTTGTGTCAAAGATTGTGTTTTTTTTTTTTTTTTTTTTCTTGCTTCCGTGAGTGAAAAGGTGACCAAAATCATCGAGATTATTGCGGACATCCAAAGGCCTGTGGCAAATGAGCTTGCAAGCATCGCAGTTGAATATTTTCCGCTTGCTTCCAAAGACCTCTAGAAACGTTGCCAGTTATGTATAGATAGCTAAGGGAACTACTTGCAGCGCAGCTAGGATCATTACTTTGTAAATGCAACTTTCTATTTTTCCAACTTTTTTTTTTGGAACTTTCCTAACAAATTATTTATTTTTTCTTATACAAAACATTCTTTTCCATATTTGTATTGCCTCATTTCTTCCAAAATTGTTTTAGTACATACTTCGCATTTTGAGAAAAATTTAATTAATATCTATTCTAAACCTTTGAAAATTGCAGTTGATTATTTCTTCTCTATAACAGACTCGAAAAATTCATTATCGCATTTGCGTGTTGTCTATAAGAATATACGAAACCAAGAACCTATAAACTTAGAATATAATCTAGTACATAAACTAAATTATGAATATTAAATACTACATATTTTATAGAGGAATTACCTGACATTGGCAAATACTAGAGGCACTTGGAAAGCCATGACGCTCAAGCTTTCTCTGACAACCACAAGTAGAGGATTGTGTACAGAAGCCTTCGGGCTTTTAACACAAAGGTTAGCAGCCCAGTCCTAAAACGCAGTAAAAACATTATTATGTCATAAATTAGATAAAATGTACAGTGGAAACGGAGAGTAGTTACACATGTAATTGATACTGCCAGAATTGCACTTTATGTGACATACATTATGTTTCAAAAATTTCTGGAATTACTGTGAATATGCCAAATTTCAAAACGGCCCAGTATATAAATTCACGTAAATATTAGGTAATTTTCAATAAAAAACAATTGGTAAAGTAAATATTAGGTAATTTTCAATAAATTTTTTTGCAGGTATGCTTAGAATCTACTACATACATCTACTTTAAGATGATGGTAAACGTTTTACAGGTTATAATTCAAAATATTTTCTACTAATAAAATCGTACTAATAAAATCGTAGAATGGTAAGAAATACTTAATATTATTTTAGAAATTTTCTCGAACACTTTCAGTAAATTCAACCATATACTTTTTTAAAAACTAAGAATCACTTTAAAAACGTCGTGCACCATATGTTTCCCCTTCCTTATTTACATTTTCATTACGTTTACCTAGTTTTTTTTAGTCCAAAGGGATTTGAATCCCGAAGGACTATTAGTTTCGTTTTGGCATTTTGCGTCGGACGGATAAATGTCGGTTCACTTTTCAAACTGTTGCCATAAAATGTTAGAGTCCTGCATTATATTTGAAGAAATTAAATAATGAAAATCTGCGTAAATGTATGTATATTTCTCACATTGTCATAAAATAACGGTACATAGAGTCATCGAATTTTGAATAACGTAATCCTCCAACGAATATGAGCATGTGGAAGATCAAATTTGAAATTTGTTTTATGATCGATTTCCTATTTTTTAAAACTTTGACGAATTTTTGATTAACAAACTCAAGGATTTCAAAGCGAGCAATGGCAAACGTTGTGCAGAAAAAAACATTTTATCTCCAGCGCGTGAGTCTCTGTATCGGAAATTCTAAAGATATGCTCGTTTTAAAACTATTTTGCGATATTGCTGTTGCACTGGATCTTATGGTTTAAGTGCGAGGAACATGATATTTAATAAAGAAAGGTAACACACAAAATGTTAAAAAACACCCCTTTGGACATTTAAAATCTGAAACATTTCAGATTTTTTTTTTTTTTTTTTTTGTAATTCTTCTTTTCTTGTATCCAGTCAGTAGTATACCCCCCACTATATGCGGCAAAAGGATGCCGCATTGACGTAATAGAACAATGGATTACGTAACAGAACAATAGATAACGCAACAGGGGGTGTGTCTTTGATGTGCCGCCACCGCCATCATGGATAACGTTACAACCGAAAGTGACGACACCAGCGCCATCTTGTATCACGTGATGGAATGACACAGAATCAAGGCAACGATCTTTTCAAAGTTTTTATTTTTTGTGGCAACGACGATATTTTTATGCTTGTGCCAACGGTCGCTTAAACCACGTGACATCAACTATATTATTTTCCTTATTTACTAATTTTTTTCCTTTATTATTTAGACATCATCTTTTTAATTTCATTATTTTTAATTATTTGACACGTCATTAATTATTTTAAATTATTTAGTACGTCATTAATATTAATTATTTAGTACGTCATTATTTTTTAATTATTACCCTTAATTAATTTTTATTGAAAATAATAGTATCCATTTTCTAATGAATTTTAAAAATAACTCCACGAAGCGGGATTCGAACCTCGCCTATCTCTGAGATGAAAAAGCCTGCACGTTACCCACGGCTACCCGGTCATGTCTTTATCATTGAACTTGTTATTTGAAACCCTATTTGTCCCTTTGACTTATTTGCACCATTGATGTCATAAGGCTGAAAGTCTGCGCATGCGCTTTGACATGAAAATCGCGGTCCACACATTTGTTTTTACACGACGGCTAGGATTTCTTTTGGCTTCTTAATCATTACTTTATTAATTGCTGTTTTAAATAGGTAAGATTTTCCCACAGTTTAAATTTTTTTATTATTAAAATATTTTTAATTGTTTTCATTTTTCATCTCATTCTTACTTTTTTTAAGTTATTAGTTAATTTATTAATTTTTTATTTCATTTTTTTCCCTTTCCCAAACATAAATTTTATTTTTAACTTTCGCAAATTGACGTTTACTTCCACAAAAGTGAATTTAAATTTTCTTTTTACTTTTTATCTTGCAAAGTTTATTTTTTTATATTTAATTTTCTTTTTGGTTTTACAAAAGTAATATTTATTTTTTTTATTTACATTTAACTTTTTTAACTTTAAAAAGTTTTTTTTTCTTTTTTTTTCCAAAATTTTTTCCTTTTTGTATTTTTACTTTATTTTAATTTTTTGTTTAACTTTCTTTTTGGTTTTACAAAAGTAATATTTTTATTTACGAATTGAAATTTTCTTTTTCACTTTTTTATTTTGCAAAAGTTTTTTTTTTTTTTTTTTTTTTTCAAAATGTATTCCTTTTCGTATTTTTTTACTTTTACTTTATTTTAATTTTTGTTTAAACTTTTTTTTTTTTTTTTGGTTTTACAAAAGTAATATTTTTTTTTACAAATTTAATTTTCCTTTCCGCTTTTTATTTAAAATAAAGGTGTTATTCCAAAAGTAAATTTTTTCCCCTTTTCCTTTAAATTTTTTTGTTACATTTTTATTTTACCCTTAACAAAAAAGTTAAGGGTAAAATAAAAATGTAACAAAAATATTCCTACAAGGGAAAAAACCCTTGTTTTAAATACAATACGATGTTACATTTCCATTTCTCCAAAAGTAAACTTACCTACATTTCTCTGTCTTTGAAATTTTAAGCTGGAATTTACATGCATATAACTTCACTAGATAATATTTTCTGTAACATTAAGCCAATATACACAATGCTCTTTCTATATAGTTTAACTGGAATACTACATTTCTTACTTTTTTACTACTAAGTTGGAGATACTGAGAACTTTTCCTTCTAATGCATTGTACTAACTATTAATGACTGTATTTAACATTTTGGCCAACTATACAAAAATTGTTGATTCCCTTTTACACGTCTTACTTTTATTCAAAGGATTCACCAAACTATGTCTGACAAATGTAATTTTTACACTTTCCATTTACACATTTACCCTTATATTTAAACTATAAAAACATATTCATGCTGTATTTCTGATTCCTTTTTCCCATAATAAATACAGACTTGCACATGTTTCTTTATTGTAAGACTTACTGACTTTAAAAAAATCTTATAAGGAGCAATAAATTTTCATGGTATGAAGCCCACTCACACCAATGCATGGAGCATTTCTACCCAGTTAAGTTTAGATACATACCAATAGTACTTCATTTCTTCTTATTTTACTCTACAGACATTTATACATATATATTCAGAACACTCCCTTTTATTCAGTAAGATTTATTTATACTACTAACACAAATTTTGCTAACTCTTTGAAATATTTTACAAAAATATCTTGTATTTTCTTGCACACATCCTACTTAAATCACCAAACATACACTGAACCTTGATTTTTCCTTCATGTGAAAACGTCACTCGGATTCTAAATATGATCCCACCATTTACCGCAGAACTTTATAAACACTGCTCTATTTGAACTTATCACAGCCTAACTCTCTTAGCAAGGTACAGAAGATTGAATTATATTTTAACTACAGAGAAGAATATCCACATTGTAACGTATTATTTTAAACTTGAATTATAGTCACATTTTGTGAAGGAGAATTTAAAGTCTATAATACACATGGAATTAATATTCAGCCATGGAAATGAAACTTTATCGCCTTTTTCCCAATTTGGAATATAAAAATTTGTTAACTTGGAATATTTTTAACGTATTCATTGTAACTTAACTGAAAAATATCCATATTTCACATTGTCAATAATTTATTTAGCACTGAACTCTTACAGCCTATTGAGAACGAAAATTTAATTTATCATACCTGACAAATGACTCCTACATAGTTATGATACATTACACGAAATATTGAGTAGAGTTCCAAATAATGATCCAACATAGTAATTAACATAAAAGACCTAACACAAATAATTTTAAGATATAAATTTCAAACTGACATTGCTTAATAATGAATTTTTACAGCTTTTTTGACATTTAAACTTCTCATAGATAGTAAATAAAATTACACACATAATTGTAATCATATATAATAGGTAATAATGACGAGAAACTCCATATAATGATCTACTATAGTCAGCAACTTTTTTTTTTAATTAAAAAAATTTTAACGCATTTTAGCATGACTTGTCATAAGAAAGACCACATTTTCAAAAAGCATTATTTTCAATTTAAACATTGGAGCCACACAATCCTGCTCACATGTATAACATTTTTATTTATCATGAGCATGACACATAATAAGTAAATAAAATACATTTCACAAAGTATGAAAACACATTTCTCTTTTAACCGACTGTATTTCTTAAGAAAAAATGCAGTATGGAATGCTTAGAACACTCGGTGCCACAGTTCCTCATTTCTTCCACGCATTGATCAAAAATATATATGTACTTTAAAATTAGTTAAACAAATTCAAATGTTAGTATTCAAACAGGAATACTTCACAAATTAGATAAAAGATACATAGGTACACAATGAACTTAAGTGATAAACACAGAAAAGCATGTAAGGACCAAGAAACAAAAATGTATTCGTGGCAGAACTTTTTAAGATAAAGTTGCTCTATTTTTTGCACATGGGTTGCATTTTTAGTTTCAGATTAAGCAAACATTCAAGATAATTCCTGTATAAGCTAGGGAGTTTATTCACACTTGTTAGTAATGTAATTTATTAGAACAGTGACAGGGCCCACCAGCGGCGAGCGGTAAAGTCGCTGAACACGGTAGTTCGGTCCGAGGTTCGAATCCCGCGAACGGGCTGGCTTCATGGGCGTTTTCGTGGTTTTTTCCCCATGTGTCACGTGTATACGAGCCAGTTTCCCTTAGAAAGTCCTCCACGAAAGGCACCCCTCCCTTTAGGCAGATAGCCCTCGAGGCTTTGCCATAATCACACA